CCTTCAACACGCGCGTGTGCGTCCAGCCAGCCATTCCACTGGCATTTGATGCCTGTGCGTTCCCGCAGCTCGGCCTGATCGTGCTCAATAGTATCCCAGCGGTCATTAGTGAGATCGACACCGCCTACGTAAGCGACGAGATCGCGGCCCTTGCGTACAATCACCGACTTCTGGTGGTGCGACGACGTAGGGAACGGCAGGCGGTCATCGTACACGAAGCGGGCCGGGCCGTACTTCTCTGGCGGCGGCAGAGAATTGATGAGGTCGCGCACCTCGTGATTCTGTGCACGCTCCGTGAGGTTGGACCACACGAGCATACGCCAGTCAGCACCACGCTTCACTGCACCCTCAGCTAGATCGCATAGCTTCGTATCGGGCTCGTGCGGCTTAAACGGCACATTGCAGGTTCCCCACCCGGTGAGGTACACTAGATCTCCGTCGCGCACGGAGTTCATGTCATCGGCTACGTCGCTGAAGTAACCAGCAGAAGCAACATAAAGTTTCACACGGTTACCCGTGGAATACAGGTGCATGCCTTCGCGCTTGGATCCGTTGCGAGACCTTAGCATTTCGTCTTCAGTCAGGAACCAGCGCGTCGGCTCGAGGTAAGGTTGGTCGAATGGGGCGGTGGCATCCTTTTCAGCCTTTTTCTTCAGGTGGAACGGGTCGACGATGAACTCGAAGGCGCGGCTCAAACCTTTGGAGAAGTCATCGAAAGGCGAGGCAGACATTGCGCTAGAGTCGCAGTATGCTCAAGGGAGTGAAAAGCGGAATGAGGGAGAATTAGGCCTAACAGAGCTGACGGCGTGATTACTACAACGCGAAAGTTAATGAATGAGGAAGCCATAATACGATATGCATGTAGCACTTGTAGACACTTCAACCGCTTAAATAAAATCATTGATTTTGCCTCTATGCGATTGTTTTTCAATCTGAGCGTAATCCACCTGGCAACCGTGAATCCCATTGGTAAACAAACTAATGCCGTGTTCTGCACGGGGAGCTCTGGATTTTCATGCTAGTATTCTATTGTTATTGCTGCAGTTCTTGCAACAACTTGTGAATGGTCCCTGTCGAGTATTGACAAGTACTACTAAGGATAACTTCCACGGGTAGTGTACTCCACAGACCTGTGCTTTTACGGCACACCTACTAAATGTTTGCGCTTTTGCTTGTGCTTTTAATTATGTATAGGCAAACTCCTTAAAGAATATACCTTTGCCGGTTGTTTGACAAATCTTCATTCAGTAAGAACGAGTAGCTACGGATGTTCTACTTCGTTTACTGTAATGTTACGTCGTCGTTGTTGCTGCGCGCTTGTTCCCAATAGAGTTGAAACTCAACCTGAAAGCAAATGGTTCCACGAAATAAAGCTGGCCAAGTATTTTTACGACAACTTACAGCGACGACCTCTGTAGTAAATTTCTCGGTGTATGATCAGTAGCAACCATATCAACATACATTATAACGTAGAGAGAGAGAGAGAGAGAGAGAGAGAGAGAGAGAGAGAGAGAGAGATTATGGCAGAGACTGATAAACCAAGATGCAACCGGGCTACAGCAACCTAATGGACAAATATATGTATTGCCCCCTTTCTCTATTCCCTTTAGCCCCGTCGACTTTCCATCCCTTGGAAGACATTCACCATAAATAAATTACGTTTGTCGTCCGTAATTTACCGATGATGTTGCACTTGGCCGCCACAAGCAACATCCACGTGTTTTACATGACGGGTACGAGATATCAAGGTATGACATTCTTGATTAAACTAAGGTACGAGCAGAAAGCACGTGAATCAAATATCAGGAGACAAAAACCATTATATTGGGTACGACTTTCCTGTGGCAATCTTATATAGCAGTAGTATCAAAGTCAACACAACACGGATTATTTGCAAAGTTTGAGTTGCTTGAGTAATTTTGGGTTTTTGAGGCAACGGTTAGAATGACTCGACTACTAAACTCTGGATATGAAATTTGTAAAGTCCAGTAGGCATCTGGCCCAGATTCTGGGTGCCTTCCAAAACCCACATAAAAAGTCGCCAATTAAAATTTAACGACGGAGAAACTGTTTGGTGATACTACTTGTTGGTCTCATCAAACAATTCTATCCGACTTTCAAGCAGCTACGTGATTAAACACACGACTGAGCTTCACTATACCCGAAGGTCGCGATTGAGACTCCGGTTCATCCTCAAAAATCCAGCTTGCACTGCCTGATTTTAATCAAGTATCCGGTCGCAGATAGTATACAATGGTCCTTACAGATTCATACTTGTAGAAAACACGTGAGTCATCATCTATACATATGTACCCATCCGTCCGCATGTGAGGAGGTATACCAAGCATATCACATCTACGTGCGTGCTAAAGATCTCATTCATTCCAGCTTCTGCGCCCTCGAGCTCAAGCCGCGCGCATCTTTATTCTCTTGGTTCTTGTGCATATTTGTCATGGACGGACTCAGCCGCGCATTTCACTTCATCGTCGATCCCTTCCAGAGTGAGAAGAAGCCCGAGAAGGAGGCCACGGCCCCCTTTGACCAGCCTTACCTTGAGCCAACGCGATGGTTCCTAACTGAGGAAGAGATGCGCACATCGCGCGACGGGTACCAGCGTGAGGGCATCCATCTCTACACTAAGGGTAACCGCGTTAAGCTCTACGTGGCCTCTGCTCCTTACTTCAGCGACGTGGCCGACGACATGCTGGAGGTGCGTCGTGGAGACCTGGTCTACCTCACCGGCTGGGGCACGTGCAACGTTCCTTTCAAGCCCCACGAGCCCGGCACGAAGTTCTCTGAGCTGGCCGAGCACGCCGTTAAGCGCGGCGCCGACTGGCGTATGCTCGTGTGGTCCAATATCACGGAACGTGCGCAGAACCACGAGCTGCGCGATCTCATCAATGCGCTGCCGCCTCCAGAGCAGTACGGCCCCGCCCGCTTCGTGTACGACGACCGTCTGCCGCACGCCACGTCGTCGCACCACCAGAAGTCGGTGATCGTACGCAAGGGCCGCGATCTCGTCGCCTACGTGGGCGGTGTGGACCTCACCAACGACCGCTGGGACACAATTGAGCACGACCAGGCCGAGCTGCGGGAACGCACAGGCATCAAGTGTCTGTGGGACGGCTGGCTGGATGCCCACGCCCGCATTGAAGGCCCTGCCACTAAGGACGTGGCTCAGAACTTCTTCGACCGCTGGAACTCGGACAAGAAGCCGTCGCAGGACCTCATGGACGACCTGCTGGACTTCGAGAACCCGGACTTCTCCAAGCTCCCGCCCATTGACGAGGGTGAGATTCCGCTCGACATCCCGCAGGATGGCACCCACGCCGTCCAGCTGTGCCGTACCTTCAGCCCGGACTACGATCACTACGACTTCGCGCCGCAGGGAGAACAGTCCATCTTCCACGCTCGCATTAAGGCCATCCGCAACGCGCAGAACTACATCTTCATCCAGGACCAGTACTTCATCCTGGTGCCGGAGCTTCTGGACGCTATCATGGAGATGATGCCCAGCATCGAACGCTTCATTGTCATCGTGCAGCGCACTGTTGAGGCTGGTTACACGGGTTACGCCAAGTACCTCTATGACATGGTCGCTCCGATCCAGAAGGCGTACCCGGACAAGTTCAAGCTCTACACGACCAAGGAGTCGAAGCAGCTCTACATCCACAGCAAGCTGGTGATTGTCGACGACGTGTACGTGTCGCTGGGCTCGGCCAACTGGAATCGCCGCAGTATGACGAGCGACACGGAGATCGGCATCAACATCGTGGACACGGAGCTGGTGCAGTCACCTGACAACATCACGGTGAACAAGCTGGCGCGTAACTTCCGTATCCAAAAGTTCATGGAGGCGACGAAGCTCACGTACGACAAGCTGGACGCGATGACTTTCTTGGAGGCGTGCGACGCGCTGGAAGCTGCGGCTCATGATGATGGCATCAGCATCATCGAGCCTTACTCCGTGGAGGACCAGGCGCACTTCGATTTTGTGCCGGACGCTCTGCGCCAGATTGTGGATCCGGACGTTGAGGAAAACTAAGCGTCTCCAGACTGTGTGGTGGTTGCATTTTTTTCTGTATAAGTTTCCGCTTTGCGAGGTTGTTTTCTTGCTCTTGTGTGAGATGATAGCTATATTGCGTCCATCAAGACCGTGAAGAGCGATGCAATAATAAAAAACAATAAAAAAAAAAAGATTTGGGAATGCATGTTGAAGATGGTGGAGGTCTTTTGGAATTACTACCACTACAGTAACAGTAAAGTTTTGAGTGTAGTTTCGCTGACAGCATCGATAACTTCGGAGGGCGCTCTGATGCCATGTCAGTCTCGCGGTTTTATCTTGGTCGGCTTTTGATCTTGAACAAAGCAAGTTAGCTTCTGAAGATCGCTCCATTATTGTTGAGCTTGGTCTGTTTCGATGTAATCGATCGTGGAATTGCTGCTATTAGTCCCGTTATCCAGTAATATATACTTAGAAATAAACATACTGTAGACCTGCTGTGGCTAATTACCAGGGGTAAGTTTTCGGTGTCATGTAATGTGAAAGCTTTCGCCATCTTCTTGTAGACCACTATAAAAATGAGGAAGGTGAGTTTCTAGATAACAATCCTAACATGCTGCACCTCAAGTGTTCACTGAACCTCACCTATGCTAGCTGAATCCGACCATTTCAACCACTATACGAGATGGCGGACCGTTTCACATCGGTAGCCGCACTATTGTTGTTAAGTCTTGCAACCGAGTTGCATATATTCCAGCATGGGCAGAGCTTGAAGGGACTTACCATAACGAACGACAGGCTTCCACCATTTCCGTTGATGCAACGGACAAGGTCATGCCCGTTTGTCGCGGCTAAGACAACGCGACCCCCTGAGTTAGTGTCTGGTTTTCTTTATTTTCTTTCTCATTCTCGAATTGGCGTCGCTTCCCCAACTTACTCAACACGAAACCTGGTTTAAAATGGACAACATAGCCAAAGAACTCGAAGCCGGCAATTATGAAAGGCAAAGCTCGCCGACTTTCAAAGGAGAACGCACATCAATCGTCAGCGCCTCGATCCCACATTTGCTACTGATCTCCATGCCCCGAATGGCCATTAGGATGGCCTGGGCAGCTCAATGGGCTGCACTTGGTCCCTATCTCGGCACAATGATGCCCAAGTACGCCGTTCAACTCACCCAGATCATCGGCCCGGCAACAGGTATCCTTGTGGCTCCGATAGTTGGTGCATTTAGTGACCGGAGCACTAGCAAATGGGGTCGTCGTCGACCTTTCCTGATGTACGGTGCAGTCACCAGTGCCATTTGCTGGACGGCTATGGGATACACTCGTCAGATTGGTGACGCGCTGGGCGACACCGGTAGCGGCAAGAAAGGAGAAGAGACTCAACGATTCTGGACCATCTTCTTGACGATCTTCTTCTACACTTGGATGGACATCACCGTGAATGTGGTGCAGACCCCCCTGTTTCTGATGATATCTGACTTCGCTGGTGAACGCCAAACACTCGCCTCTTCCCTCAGTCAGGGTTGGTCTTTGCTCGGATCGATCATGGTCTCAGGCTACATCTACCTGTTCGGTGCGGCCCACCTGACGCTTCGCTGGTTCCTCTGCATGCTGTCGGTAGTGATGGTTGGTACAGTTTCGATCGCGTGCTTCTTCAGTCAAGAGCGTCCACGTGGTAAACTTGAGCTGCTCACAGAGTCGAGGTGGCAGCAAGTGAAGAGCGCTTTTGAGTCCATCTACGACGGCTTCAAATCACTTCCAGTAGAGCTGCTAAAGTACTGCATCGTGATCTTCTGTGTCATGTATGGCTTTACAGCCTACAACGGCAACAAGGGGCAATTCTTTGGTATCGAAGTGTACGGTGGCACAGCGATTGGTGCCAAGACGTGTGCACCTGACTGCACCGAGGCTCAAGACGCGTACAACCATGGAGTTCAAGTCGCCGGAGGAAGAACTGATTTCCTCTTCAGCATTGTTGGCTACATGTACTCGTGGGTTTTGCCGTGGCTTGTGACGAAATTTGGTGCCAAGTGGATGCTCGTGGTCTCGCTATTCCCCCAGTCCTTGTTGATCGTCATGGCCTTCTCCACTAGTGTGTCACTTAACGTGGCCATTGTGATCTTAACCTCGCTCACTATTACCACTCTCTTCGTGCTCAATGTCCCCGTGATTGTTCATGTACTTGGACATGATGCTGATATCGGGGTCTATGTTGGCGTCTTCAACGCGAGCAACTGTCTTGGTCAACTACTCAACTTTGCTGTCGGCGCTGCTATCGTTGACTCCTCCATGGGCTACAAGCTACCGATATTTCTTGGCGGTCTCATGAGCTTCTTCGGTCTGGTGTTTACTCTATCCCTGTTCAAGGTCAAGATGCACTCCATGTAGATACCAAGACCAATGAATCTAGTAATAGGAGCCATGTGGAAGCAATAGCAAATAATTTTATATGTTCACTGGTTGCTGAACGTTTGAAAGTCCTAGAAACGAAAGAGATGGACGAGCAGAGTACCGCAATCTGCAGGTTCGGTGCAATCAAGCACCGCTTTACATGGAATACATCTTCATCTTGAAGAATAGCAAGGCAGTAATAAAGCCGAGGGCGCTCATGATGCCTCCAAGGAACACTGGAAGTTTGTAGCCCAGCGAAGTTTCAACAAGTCCTGAACCAATGGCAAAGTTCAGCAGTTGACCAAAGCAGTTGGCCGAGTTGAGAGCACCAACATAGATACCGATCTCCTCGTCCTCACCGAAGACGTGGATGATCACCGGCACAATGAGAGCGAACCACACGGCTTGGGTGATGCTAGTGATGGCAACGATAAAGACGTTGAACGTCACGTTGCTCGTCCATGCCATGACCATCAGGAACATCTGCGGGATGGTCGAGAACGTCAGAACCCACTTTACACCAAACTTGTGCACCAGATACGGCAGCGTCCACGAGTAAATGTAGCCAACGATGTTGAACAGCAGATCGGCACGGCCACCGGCAATACTGACACCGTCGTTGTAGGCATCCTGTTCGGGGGTGCACGGGTCACAAGTGTCGGCGTTTTCAGCCGAGCCATCGTACACCTCGAGGCCAAAGAATTGCCCCTTGTTTCCATTGTATGCTGTGTAGCCGTATTGGACGAAGAAGAAGCAAACGCCGTAGATGGCTAGTACACCAGGAAGCGTGCGAATACCGTGGTATACGGACGCGAAGGCGTGACCGATACGCTTCCAAGTGGACACAGCATCGACTTTACTAGGGTCCAGTGGGGTCTCCTTTCCGAAAAGGACTGCAACGCTGATGCAAATGAACATCGTAGCCGACAGCATCCACATAAATTCGTGAAGTGTCTTGTGGGCGGCTCCGAAGAACTCGATGTAGCCGGCGACGAGGATCGAGCCCAAAGTTGACCACGCCTGACCCAGAGCAGCTCCCGTGGTCTGACGATCACCGGCAAAGTCAGCCACTAGAAGCATGGCTGGAGTTTGCACGACGTTGACGGTGATGTCCATCCACAGGTAGAAAAACACGGTGAGGATCGACGTCCATGTGCGATCGGTTGGTTGGCCATCAGTACCGTCACCGTGGTCACCAAGAGCTTCGCCCATATCGCGCGTGTAGCTCATGGCAATCCAACAAATGATACTTAGAATGCCTGCGACGATAAGGAACGGACGTCGTCGACCGAACTTGGCGGTGCTGCGGTCACTGAGAACGCCGATACTGGGGCCGACCAGCACACCGACAATTGGACCGATGAACTGAGTGACTTGGACTGCAAAGTTGGGCAGCATTGTCGACAGATAGGGACCGAGAGCCGCCCACTGAGCCGACCACGCCATGTTGATAGCCATTCGCGGCATGGAAACCGCGAGCAGCAGCCAGATTGGCGGGTGAGACAGCGGAGTCTGCTCATCGGCGCCTTCCTTGGCTCCTCGCTTGGGCGAATTTTGGAGGTCGTAGCCTTTCTCGACGTCGGCCATCGTGAGCAGAGGAGTCCAGTCCGCTCGAGAGAGCAAGTTTGAGAATGAGCGAGTGAGAAAGACACTACCAAGTTAATAGAGTTAGCTCTTCTACGCCAGCTTGAACGTGCGGTGAGCTCGAGCGGGTGACGCTAACCATCCGCTGAGCGAAAAAACAGGCAGCCCAAGTCCAAACTGTGCCACAAACTGCAAAGCACTTTGTTGTTACCTCGAGCAGATGGGATACCGGGGCTTGGTTATCATGCTCGATTTTACGCGGGAGGGATGCCGAATCCATTTCAGGACAACAAAGCTTTATATCGTGGTGACTTTGCTGCAATTTGCTTTGTCTTTATGTCGTTATCTCACACGTGCCAGGCCCTGCCAGCTATTATTTTAATTTTACAAGAAAGGGATACTTGTCCACTGTTGTTGCCTCAAACCACTGCATACCGGCGGTAAATTACCGCCTTGAAGTTATTTAAGTGATGAGCTTCCGAAAAGTAATCCCAGCCGATTTGACTTGGTGCATCTCCTTTGCCAGCACCGCACCCCGATGGGGTCGATCAGGTCGTTTGTTGTGGTAAATATCACTGGGTAAGGGGCACGGTTCGTGCGGCCAAACAACTAGCGCTGCCGACTAAAAGTTTTCATTCAGAGATTAAGGACGTTGTGGAGCCAATGAGTGAGAGAGCAGGCCTAAGATGTACTCTGTACAAGTAATGTATGAATTTATCTTCGGGGTGTCGTCAAGCCACCGTGCTCACGTGTATCATCTGATTCGTCCTGTTTGAAGGTGATGAAAGCGCTCGGAGATGTAAAGTTCCATTTAAAACCTTAAAAGCGCAGCGGCTTCAGCACTGAGCTATACTTGCGACTTGACGTTTGCTGCGCTGGATGTCTTTGTGCTCTTGAAGCTCAAGTCGAACAATTTTCTGCAAACCTCACTTCTCGGGGGGAGCTCATGTCTTCCTTCGAGAGAGTTTGACGAAGTTCGAGATCGGTGAATGGTTCACTGCATTACCACTGGTGATTATGATTTACCGCAAAACTTTTTTTCGCGCCTTCAACGTCAACCGAGTCTGGAGGAACCACACATCATTGATGTACCTGATTAAAAGGCTAACTTCATTTCCAAGTGATCATCGAGGACACGTAACTTACTTCAACGCGATCGGCAGTTAAGGTGGACTGGAACACGTACCAGGAGAACGAAATCCATTAACAAGCCTAACGCTACTGTGTACAAGAACTATACGTGGCCACCGCAAGATCAAAGCAGCTTTTTACATGCTGTTCATCTTCATTTTGTAGAAAACCAGAATCGTGAGGAAGCCCAGAAAGCTGGAGATGCCTCCAACGAAAACCGGCAGTTTGTATCCGAGAGACGTTTGCACCAACCCCGTGCCAATAGCAAAGTTAAGCAGTTGGCCGAAGCAGTTTGCAGAGTTGAGAGCTCCCACAAAGACACCGATGTCTTCTTCCTCTCCAAACACGTGAATGATAACCGGAACAACGAGTGTGAACCAAACGGCGTGCGTGATCCCTGTCGTGGCAACCACGAAGATGTTGAACCCGGGGCTGCTGATCCATGCCATTGCCGTGTAAAGTACTTGAGGGATTGTTGAGATAGTAAGAACCCACTTCACGCCGATCTTGTGCACCATGAACGGCAAGGCCCACGCCCACACGTATCCCACGATATTGTACAGAAGATCGGCACGACCACCGGCAATGCTGACGCCGTGGTTGTAAGCGTCCTGCTCGTCGCTGCATGGGTCGCAACTGTCAGCATTTTCAGACACTCCGCCGTAGACCTCCAACCCAAAGAATTGCCCCTTGTTGCCATTGTACGCTGTGTAGCCATACTGGACGAAGAAGAAGGCCACCCAGTAGATCGCCAGCACTGCCGGGAGTGCGCGGATTCCATGGTACACGGAAGCAAACGCGTGCTTGACTCGAGTACAGGATGACTCGTTGTCCACTTCACGTGGAGATAGTGGCGTTTCTTTGGCGAAGATCACAGCGATACCAACGCAGATGAACATGGTAACGGATAGCATGCCCATGAACCAATGCAGTGTCTTGTAGGCGGCCCCGAAAAATTCAATGTACCCGGCAATTAGAATTGCCCCAAGCGTAGCCCAAGCCATGCCGAGAGCTGCGCCCGTAGTCTGTCGATCCCCAGCAAAATCAGCAACTAGAAGCATCGCTGGGGTTTGCACGACGTTGACCGTGATGTCCATCCAGAGGTAAAAGAACACCGTAAGAATTGAGGTCCACGTGCGATCGGTCTCCCCTCCGTCGGTGCCGTCACCATGGTCGCCCAGTGCTTCACCCATTTCACGTGTGTAGCCCATGGCGATCCAACAGACGATACTGAGGATTCCAGCGACGATGAGGAATGGTCGACGACGTCCCATTTTCATTGTGCTGCGATCACTGAAGACACCAACACTTGGAGCTACCAGCACACCAGCAATTGGCCCGATGAACTGCGTGATCTGGACAGCATACCGAGGGAGCATTGTCGACAGGTATGGGCCCAGGGCAGCCCATTGAGCTGCCCACGCCATTTGAATCGCCATCCGAGGCATGGAGATCGCCAGCAGCAACCAAATAGACGGATGAGATGGGGTTTTGTCACCTCCATCTTGAACACTTTCAAGCTTGGGAGAAGCGTGCAGGTCGTAGCCTTGCTCGAAATCCTTCATCTTCGACAACGAATTCGCTGGGTGGAGATTGCCTCGACGAGATGAAATTGGAGAATGACCTTGGACTTTTACATTCCGAGCAGCATTTGGGTAATCGTTCCATCTTCAACAGCAACACACGGAACCAAGATACCAGGTCGCTGCCTACATGAACAGGTATGCACAACTTGAAGTACAAACCTCGAGAGCTCTGTACTGCTTGCCTCGAGATTAAAAAAAAAAACGTTGTCGGGCAGAAGTTGATGTGTGGTTCCATTTCGCCACGCGGGAAATCGATCACGATGAGATTCATCAGTCGCCATCTTTAATTTCTTGACGCGTTGGCCACAGCATCCCTATGGGTGTTGTTTTGGCTATTCCTTCAGCACCAAATGTGCGATCCTGATAGGTGGCGTTGCAGTGCTTGCTACAGTTGTCTTCACCCTGAGGAGATGGCGGGAGTCCCGTCACGGAATGGAAGTGCAGATCTTATTGCATTCCACCATCTTGTGTTTTTATGAATATTAAGCCAAGCCAATTCCATGACTCGAGATTTGCAACCAAAAAATGTTTTAGGGTCGCGAGCCTTCACCACTTTGAAGGGACGCTTTAGATCCACACTGGACGGGTATAGATATCATGGCATTCCGCTGTGTAGGAAGCCCGCTGGATGAAATGAGGCGGCTGGAGAAGTTGCGTGAGCTGGATCCGGAGTCTGCAGCCAACTTGGTGGCCAACGGGAAGTTGCTAGTCGACTTTGTTCGCGATGGGAATCTGCGAGCACTGGAGTGCGCAGCGGAATATCTTGAGGAGGTAGGATCACCCAGTTGCTATCTGATTATCTAGCACAATGGTGACACGTTTTTCGTTGCCGTCAGGGTCAAATGTTGATCTTTTATACCGTGCGGATGTTTCGAGAGGCGTGCGCGACAAGAAGACTCGATATCCTGCGATTCATGCTGTTGAACGGTTTCGATCTCCAGCAAAGCTACATGAGAGACGTACTACACAGCATCATCGACAACATCGACAGTCCACAAAGTGCTGATGCTGTGCAACCACTTATTCGATTCCTACTGGATGCTGGTGTCGACGTAAATTGGCAACGGACATCCGATCTGTATACAGCTTTACATGTTGCATGCTGCAAGAACCTGTACCCCATAGCGTACCTGCTTGTTCTTTTTGGTGCCGACGTCAACGCAATTGCCGCGGTAAGTCGTGAAACTTTTTGTCGTATTCTTCACTCTTTATCACTGTGAGTTAAACTTCCTCAGAACGATTCGATGCCACTTGCATGCGCAAACAACATTGGGAAAACGACCACTTTAACAGAAGATGAGCAAGCACAGAAGAGCTTGCTCGTTGCTTTTCTAATTGAGAATCAAGCACGTCCAACGTGGAGGAAGCAAACACGCCAAGTACCTTTAACGAGTGCTACAGGCCTTTCGAATCCAGTAACGCAACCGAAACAGCCGATCCTTAGCTTCTCGAGTAGCTTCGGCATTCATTGCAGCATCGATAATTCATCGGACGACGAACATCAAGCTGCTCTCATGTTCGACACGTCAGATCCAACTGAAAGTCTTTGAGTAACTACGGTGATATTAGGAGCAGTTATCAAGCACGGTGATCAAGGAAAACAAAAATATCCTCTTCGTTTGTTCAGATTCTCGAATTATACATAGTACACGGCCTGTCTTACTTGCTGCGAGCACGGTACTTCATCGCCAGAGTTCCTTACGAATCGCTGCGTTAACGATGTCTTGTAGCCTCATTGAGGCCAAGTTCCAGGCGCTGGACCGCACCATCAAGATGCTGTCCAAGTCGAAAAATCATCGGACGCCTGAAGTTGCGTCATCGGAGCAGCTTCGTGAACTTGTCGAAACGAAACCCACCTCTCTTCTGCCTACCATAAAGCCTGTCAAAGACTTAGAGGTCACACGATCCAACCAACCTCACTCTAGGACTAATAGAAAAAGTCGATCGTTGCCGAACACCGCTCGCGAAGAGAAGTCAGAGAAGAAGAGTGAACAGTGGCCACCGCGACCTAGTACTGGAAGGAGATATTCTCGCCAAAGCGCAGCTAAAGTATCCACAGAAAAGTGGGTTGATCCGAAGCAGAAGCGTGCGGAGCAACTACTGCAGGATACATGGAATGTGAGTACTATAGGTGAAAGCAACACAGTAACGACGTACTAACTAGATTATCTGAGCGAAGGAGATCGATTCTGCTGTGAATTGGGGACGAGATACCATCACCAGTCATGAGGCAAGTAGTCGTCTATTAGTTCAAGGTCATGTAATTATACTCTAACGGTTGAGTTTTTTTAGGTTCCTCGATCGAAATTGTTAAACGACAATTATCGAGACGAGAATCAAGAACAAGACTCGAATCCATACGAAGAGCGCGTCCAAGATGAACTTAGTAGTAACCAGATTCACGACGATTTAGGTAAGCTGAACTACGTTGGAAATGCCTTCGAAAACCCAATTTACGATCTTGTTGATGAATCTCAGAGACTTGTAGTGCAGCTGTACACAATGCACTACCACTGCCTAAAAGACCTTTGACGTCTGCGGGCTCTCATCCAAAAAAGAGTAAAGCTCATTTGAATGCCAGATGCCGATCAGCGTTATTAAAATGTTCGGATTCACAGCCGAAAGATTGGTTTTCTCCTTCAGCTGTCGAGACCGCTCCTAAGACGAAGCGCAAGAACCGTCCCAGGACTGCCATCGGGAAAGGCAGCAAAGATAATAAAAAAAGTGTTGAACCTCCATCCCCGCCACGCCCTGAGGTGGAACCAACACCGAAATTAGTCCAGGTTGAAGTCATTAGCGAACCAGACAGAAAATACCCTCCTGCCGTCCCAAAAGCCGACGATCCGACGTTCTACATGCTGGAGTTGAGGCTAGACCATCCTGAACCTTTGGCGAATTGGCGATTCCAGGCATCTTTCACAGACACCTCGGTTGACCCTTCCAAGACAGTTATACTGGACGATCTTATGGTGAGATTTGACTTAGCGTAAGTTTCGAAGAATACTCACATCTAATATGCAGGCGGATGGCGAGAACTGCTTGCTCTTCGATGACCCGCGACTACCACCAGGATCAACCCCATCTCGATTTTTCAATCCGTTCTTGTACTTCCCTGGTCTAACTAGACCGAGTGATGTAAGTGCTATTGATGTAGCTAGGTAATCATTTGTACTTACACTGAGCATTTGCAGTTGTATGGACATGTTTTACGTATCATCGTGACATCACTTCGACCAGTCACGCGTACTGTGATCAACACGTCCGTGCAATTCACATATTCTCCAGACGAAGCTGTTGTGAAGCCACCGGTACAGTCGATCCGACAACGCTCAGAAAATGTAGCCACCCAAGACGTTCGAGTCTTACCGCAACGCAATAGATCTGCTTCTTCCGCATCGAGGCGAGGAGTTAAGGTGTCAAAAGTCCAACAGAAGAAGACGCCGAGGCTACTGCAAAACAATAACCACGAATCGAGTACGAGTAGTCTTGCTATGGACCAGTGCAATCCCTGGTCTTCAAGCGAGCAGAATGACACCGACGCTGATGATCACCAAGCATATACGCTGGGACAAATGTTTACACTGTATCTTGATGAGCCTCGACCGCCATCCCCCACCACACCCACCCGAAAAGATCCAATACCAGAGAACTTGACCCGGTCTCCTCAGACGCCCATAGCCACCATCGACAAGAAGAAAATGCAGCTGCAGAGTCTGCGCGCAAGTATGCGGGTGCGTTAGTATGCTTTGAGTTTGTGGTATTGCCGCACTAACCTGTTTGCTTGTACACAGAGAGAAATGAGCGAGCACAAGATCGACAACTGCAACTTGTAGTGTAGCCACCTAGCTTCATGTTTAGTGTCAACACATATATTTATGTACATTACACCACTTATCAAGAAACCGAAGCTGACTGCATTTTCGGAACATCTGAAGAGTCGAGTTGCGCCACCGAGTGCATCGCTGTCTCTTCGTCCCGCGCCGCCCACAAGCTCGTAGCGCCTTCACGTTACTGCGCTCGCACTCGTCTACACGCTGGTTGAGCTCTTCGCGTTGCAAGCCTGCAGGAATTTCTCGTAATAACTCCTAGAGACTCGGAACAATGGAGGGCCAAGTGGTGGAGCTCACTGAGGCCGAACAAGCCCAGCACCAGCTGCAGATGGAGCAGCAACTCAAGTCCTTCTGGGCCAAGCAGTTGCTGGAGATGGAGCAGCTTGAAGTCGGCAGCGAACAAGGTACTGCACAGACCCAATAGAAGTGTGTCAATGACACACTTCTTTCTGTGACACAAAAAAAAACGTTTGTTGAATGGGACGTTGTGTTATGTTGCTGCTGTAGACTTCAAGAACCACAACGATCTGCCACTTGCGCGCATCAAACGCATCATGAAGTCGGACGAGGACGTTCGCATGATCAGCGCCGAGGCGCCTGTGCTGTTCGCCAAGGCCTGCGAGATGTTCATCTTGGAACTGACGCTGCGTTCGTGGGGATACTCGGAGAAGAACAAGCGACGAACGCTGCAGAAGGAGGACATCCAGACGGCCATTAGGAACACGGACATCTTCGACTTCCTCGTGGACGTCATCAACTAAGGAAACTGCTGAATGTACAGTCACCCTCAGAAGGTGACGATCTTGGACAGAACCCGATAAAAAAGAAAAATTGTTTTGAAGGACTTGAAAGAGATGCCTCTTGTGAAACGAGATGCTATGTAGATGTAACAAGTCACTCGTCTTCAGCTTCACAGCGGAGTATAATGTTACGCGAATGTCGTGTCAAGAACATCTACCTTCGCACAACATTCAATCCACGTCATCGATTTTGATAGCCGACAACTTTCACCTTGAAGTTCGATGTCACATCGACGATGTGTCATTCTACGAGATGCGAGTTCTCACTAATTGTAAAAACCAAGTCCTCTATACTGCTGCCATAATGCGACGAATTAGTACCCAGTGCTTCGGCACTAACAAGAGCGTGGGTGTCATCGGTTTGGGCCAAATGGGCGGACGCATGGCCGACAATCTCCGCAAACACGGACACAAACTCGTCGTGTGCGACCCCGTGTCTGCCAACGTGCAAAGGCAGGTGGACCAGGGAGCGAAAGCCGCTGCCAACGCCCGAGAGGTGGCTGAGCAGTGCGACACCATCATCACCATGCTGCCGTCCACCGCCACCGTCGAGTGTGTGTATCTGGGTGAGGACGGCGTGCACGAGGCATTACGCAGTGAGCATTTGCTGCTGGATTCGAGTACTATCGACCCGATCTTCACCAAGAAGCTGAGCAAGGAGCTTCACGACCGCGGAGCCACGTTCGTGGACGCTCCGGTGTCTGGCGGCGTGGCGGGTGCTCAGAACGGCACGTTGACGTTCATGGTGGGCGGTGAACCAGAAGAATTCGAGCGTGTGAAACCGGTGCTGAAGGCGATGGGCAAGAACCTGGTGCATTGCGGTGGAAGCTGTTCGTTTTTGGATCTTGCGGCAGTTGTATTATACTTGCGTGTCTGATAGTTGTGGTGTCTTGCAGCCACGGGCCAGATTGCTAAACTGTGCAACAATTTAGCTGCTGCCATTCAGCTGACATCAATCGCGGAGGCGACAAATCTGGGAGTTGCGCTTGGCATCGACCCCAACGTTCTGGCTGAGTGTGTTCACAAGATGAGCTTGCACGATAAGGTGACTGCTGACACTGTTTTACATCCCTTTGTTGTGTTCTAGGGTCATGAACTCATCGACTTCGCGGTGTTGGTCTTCTACGACGTACGTTGTGGCTTCACCAGGTTGCTATTTTGCAATCTGGAGGCTTTTAACCCATTGAAATGGTGACAGAAATCATCCTTATCCAGGCATTATACCAGATATCCCCGCGTCGAAAGGTTACGAGGGAGGGTTTGCAGTGCAGCTCATGCACAAAGATCTAGGCCTCGCTTCGTCTTGCGCAATGAGCGCCGAAGTGTCTGTACCGCTGACAAACTCTGTGCTTCAGCTGTTCAATTTGATGGTAAATCACGGCAATGGCCACAAAGACTTCGCCTACATCCTCCCGTTCCTAAAGGGTGGTAAATCTGGATGTCGCTAAATGCACCAAGAAAACAAACAACGTGACTCCATTTCCATCGTGCAATAATTCCGACATCGATACAAGTGCTTGTTCTGCAGACGGACCTTGACCGCTTTGGTGACGACCATTTTGGCCTACATCAGCATGACGTCACCAAACAGCAATATTTCTCAACAGGGAGTACCGATTCGCGTCAAGAAGACGTGATCCAAAGACATATTCTCTTCGACGTTTAAACTCTACGAAAATACTGCGGCTTAACACTCTCCGCAGCACCAAGGAAACCAAAGTCCGTGCACACCGACAAGAAACTGTGGGGCGATCCAACCAGAAAACGCACGATAAGTTGCCTATAACCACTCGACATTCACCATAAACGTCGAAAACCGGCCAATCATCTCTCCTCCATTGCGCCGCCACTCGAATGCCCCATTCCGCGTCGCCCTCAATGACCTACGCGGGTATTGTGACTCTGCCGTGCTGCAAATCCGACGCGGCGGCCATGATTGATGCAGCATTTGCTTTGATGCAGGCCTGCATTCGTACTTAACGCGATCGCCCCTAACTTGAAGTTGGCGAACAATTTCAAGTCAACCAGAAGCCGAATTCAGTGTGTCATTCGCCGTTCCGTCCGGTATCAACCAAGTCGCCAAGTTCGCAATGCTCCGTACGACCTTCCTCCGTTCCAGTCAAGCGCTACGCTTTACTCCCATGTGCCGGGAGATGTCCACCGTGTCCTCTAAGGACCAGGTGGGCGTCATCGGTTTGGGCCAAATGGGCGGACGCATGGCCGACAATCTCCGCAAACACGGACACAAACTCGTCGTGTGCGACCCCGTGCCTGCCAACGTGCAAAGGCAGGTGGACCAGGGAGCGAAAGCCGCTGCCAACGCCCGAGAGGTGGCTGAGCAGTGCGACACCATCATCACCATGCTGCCGTCCACCGCCACCGTCGAGTGTGTGTATCTGGGTGAGGACGGCGTGCACGAGGCATTACGCAGCGAGCATTTGCTGCTGGATTCGAGTACTATCGACCCGATCTTCACCAAGAAGCTGAGCAAGGAGCTTCACGACCGCGGAGCCACGTTCGTGGACGCTCCGGTGTCTGGCGGCGTGGCGGGTGCTCAGAACGGCACGTTGACGTTCATGGTGGGCGGTGAACCAGAAGAATTCGAGCGTGTGAAACCGGTGCTGAAGGCGATGGGCAAGAACCTGGTGCATTGCGGTGGAAGTTGTACGTATTGAACAACTCTAGCGGTATATTTGAGCGGTGTACTAAAGGGTTTACTGTTTATTGTGACCAGCTACGGGTCAGATTGCCAAGTTGTGCAACAACCTGGCTTTGGCTATTCAAATGGCGTCGGTGGCGGAGGCTATGAACCTCGGCACGACGCTGGGTATTGACCCTAAGATCCTCAAGAACATCATGGACACGTCCACGTCTTCGTGCTGGTCTACCCTTGTGTAAGTTGAAGCGAAGAAGCCCTTTATATATTGGGGCGAAGGCTGATAAACTACTATTGTGTTTCTATAACAGCAACCACCCGTACCCTGGTTTGATGGAAAACGTGCCGGCGTCTAACAACTACGAAGGAGGCTTCGCTGTGGGGCTGCACCGTAAGGACTTGGGACTTGCCATGGATTGCGCCAAACACGCCGAAGTGTCGATCCCACTGACCTGCCAAGTGCACCAGCTCTACAACATGATGGTTGCCTGTGGCTACGGCAAAAAGGACTTCAGCTACATGCTCCAGTACCTCAAGAACGGAAAGTAAAGATAAAAGTACGCAGGCGTACTATATGTCAAGTGAGCAGTTTGCAGTTAAACCTTTACAAAAAGAAATGAAAAATACTGTGAAGGTCACTGGGTGTTTTATTGTCCTAGCGCGGCATCACGTTCCGTCTGCTTGACCATGTCACCGTCGATCTTGGCAACTTTGGGGATCCGTTTGAGCACGTTGAGTCGAGCGTCTTCCTTGCTCAGATTCTCGTAAATAGGGTTTCCCGTGAATAGCACGTCTCGTAGTTTGGGTAAACTCGCAAGTTTGTCGAGTTCGTCCCAGCTCTTGATCAAGTTGTTGGATACGTAGAGCGTCGTGAGGTTCGTGAGTCCTGACAGTCCGTCCAGCGTGGCGATGACGTTGTACGACAGCCACAGTTCCTCCAACGTATCCGAGACATCGTCCAATTTCTCGATCTTCTTGATCTGATTCCGACCAAGTGACAGAATCCGCAGCTTCTTCATCCCTGAAAGAGGGATAAGGCGATCAATTGCGTTCGTTGACAACGACAACTGTCTGCAACAAACTCGTTAGATTTCTAAATATCTGTAAAAAAAAAAAAATAAATAAATAAAGATGGCGTACTCGCAGTTCTTGAGCGTGTTGAGCGAGTTATCAAGCTTTGCGATCGGAGGCATCTGGCAATATAGCTTGATCACAGAAGATTCTTCCGCCGACGCCGAGTTCTTGGCCTCCCACGCCTTAATAGCTTGTGCGCATGTAGTCTACAACCCAAACAAGTCAGCGAATTCAATACTTTATCTTCTGCCATTACCGTACCATAGCTTCTAACTCTAGCTGCTCGAAATGACTAGTGACGGAGGATCGCGACTCGCCGGTCGCGACGTTTCAAGGCGCATCGGCGCGTAGCATTTCCGAGAAGGCAAAATTACTATCGTCTTGATCGCGTTTGGGACGCTGCAGACGATATGAAGCTTTGACGATCGTGGGCTCCAAACTGGCCTTGGTAGCTTTCCATCTGGCTTGACCTGCTTCAAGCAACTCGGTGTGGTATTTCGTGCGCTCGAAGTGGTAGATTAAGCTCTTCATCCGCTTATCAAGCTTTGCCAGAATGGGCAAAACTTGGGCGATTGGAATGTTGACTTTCCTGCACAATATCTCCAGTACATGCTCGTATGCTGGATGTAGAGCAGTTCGGTGAGTCTGGTAAAAGACTGGGTAAAAGAACGAGTCCATCTTCTTGTCTCCGTCAACTTCTCGAGATCTCAAACGCTCCATTCGCTCCTCAATTTCCGTGTCACTCTCAGCTAAAACTCCATCGACGTGAATAGCTGGATACGCGTAAAGATCATTCGACTTGAGCCTCTCACACTGATCGTTTCCAGGTTCCTCACGTGTCTGGATGCGTTCTAGCTGTTCAATGTGCATCTGGAGCTCTTCAGGTACAGCAGATTTGTCCGGATCAATGAAAACCTGCTTGGCGAACTGCGTAAATGTATCGAGAGCACGTCGAGGGAGAAGATGCGCGTCGTGTACTGCAGCAACAGGAGGTGCATTGTATCTAACTTCCTCGCTTTCCTTGGTTTCTTCGTCTTGTTTGTGACTCCGTTCGTAGATCCACTCGTGCCAATTCGCACACATTTTAATCGCCACAATCAAATGCGCTACAATCCCCACCTCAGACTCAAGAATCGCATCTACTCTGGCTCGGTCTTTCTTCGTGTGTTTTAGCTTAAATCTGGGGTAGCCGTCGACTTCGGCTTGTAGCATCAGTGGCAGCTCCGTCATCTCTCCTTCCACGTTCATAAAGCCTGTGATCCACTGGAAATTGCGGTATACTTCACCAGGAAACCCCATTGTAGCGCAGATACGGTGAGCTGCAAGTGGCACATTTAACGGGGGTAGACGTAGGCCCATGTGGTACTGAAGATGGTGGGCAGAGTAGGCGATTTGAACGGTAGTCGCTCTGTGACGCAGCATCAAAGATTGGAAGAAACCGGCAACAAACTTCACGGAATCTCGCACGTCCGGGACGTCTGCGCAACACGCGGCCAGCGAATTGTGGTACGGGATCACTCCTGTGGTGACCCATTCTGCGAAATCACTTGGCAGTAAGCCCAGATTTAACACACGAGAGGCGAGCACCAAGATCCCCACTAAGTCCACAATGGAGAACATGTTGAGCTCGTCGAACTTGCGACGTCTAAGTTTGACTCTCTTCCGAGGTTTCTCGCCTGTCTTCTCTTTTTTCTCTTCTGCCTGTTTGTGTTCTTCTTCTTTTACTTCATCTTGTTCGTTTTTCTTCTCCCATTCTGCATCCCACTGCTCCAACAAGTCAAACGTTGCAGCTGGGTCCATGCTCTTCTCCTCTTCCTTGGAGTAGAACAGGAAAAACTCGTTATAACAGCGTAACAACGGCTTGGCGCCCTTAACTCCCCAGGTCTTTAAGAATTTGAACCATAACTCCTTAACTGCCTTCGGGTACTCATCAGCAGGGAATGTGTCGGTCCCCACACGCTCAATGAGCGCTCGAGCCATGGAATCCAGTACCATCTGCGTGGCGATAACACAGTCCAGCAGCTCTGGCAGCTTCTTCTCTTTCTCGTGCTCTTTCGTCTTCAATCGTTTATTTCTCTCTTCACCAATCACAGTCTCGTTTGCATTTCGCTTCTTCTTAACTACACGGCGCTTGAGCGTCTTCAGTACAGTCGTAATGTCCATGCCCATGTCCTCGGCTTCCTGCGTCTCGTTACGCGCCTGTAGAAAACTCTGCGTGCCGCACAACTCGCACACCATCTCGCCGAAGTAGTTCTCGCTAAAGAACGAGTCGCCCACGGCGCCGCAGTTCTGGCATTCCAACATAGCGGCGAACAAGTCTTCGATGCTTCGAATGGTTCGAAGTGAAGTGTTAAATGTAATGTAACGGTTAATTGATGATTAAAGATGCAGAAATATCGGTTATTTGTTGAGAAGTGTTCGACATCACGGAACATGAGCGAGCCTAACAGTGTAGGAATGGAATCAAGGTAAAGTGAAGAGTATCAACTGTAAATTAGAGTGCATTTCGTCGCGAGCTTCATTCGAAGGGCGTCGCTCCTCAACAAGGTAGGGATATCACATTCATTTAGAAGCGGTTATTCCTACTACAGGGCAGGCTTACAGCTTGTTCATGGAGGCAACATCCACCGACTGCACGTAGTCCTCAAAACCCTCAATGGCGTCCGTGATGTCGTCAAGCAGCACGAGGTCATCGATGATGACGCACTGCACCAGCAGCTTCTTGATGCCGAAAGCCACAGGCACCAGCTTGTGTCCCTCACCCCAGGTCAGACCCTCGACGGGCAGAGCCTTGATCTTGGCGGCCAGCTCCTCGAGGTCCGTCTCGGCCTCCCACGGCTTGACCTCAATCACGACCTGCGAGCGCTCCACGGGCTTCTTCTTCTCCTTCTTGGCGGCCTTGGCAGCCTCAGCGCGCTTAGCAGCCAGAGCCTTGGCAGCCTCATCCTCCTCCTCGTCATCGTCGTCACCGAACAGGTCGTCGTCATCGTCGTCCTCCTCCTCGACCTTCTTGGGGGCAGGGGCGGCCTTCTTGGGAGCCTCCTTCTTTGCCGGAGCCGCCTTCTTGGCGGGCTTGGCAGCCGCAATGGGCTTCATGGGCTTGGCACCCTTGGTGGGGTGAAGCACCGAGAACTTGGCGGTCTGCACCAGCTGGAACTTGTTCATGTCGGTCGGCATCGTGAGAAGAAGATGTGGGAGATAGAGAGTCGATTCGCTACTGAGGAGCGACTGGATCTGCTGGCCTGACCATCCGTTCGAGTCGGGCGTGATGATATTCTGAGATAACATATTCTTATTGGGAAACCTTTGGTTTAGAAATTCTGAGTTAGAATATTTTTGTCAACCGCCAAAATTTTTGAACAAGGGTTTGACAAGCATGAAGACTGAGCTGCAGCGAGTACTAGAGGCGTATCGTGCCATGGAGCCCGTGAAGGACGTCATCCACATGATCAAGACGCAGTTTGCGGTGGATCAACGTTGGGCCTCGCTGGAATTCCAGGTTAGATTTTCCACAAGCAAGTAAAAGTCGAATTCAAGGACTGACAAGACAGGCTACTGTTTGTTGCAGGCTCAAGTGCTGCAGGAGGTGGTGAACGACCCAATTTGCGACGACTTTGCACCACTGAGGAAGTACACGTACAGATTCCTCAAGAGTTATGTGGATGGTATGTCGACAAACCCAAAAATCATCATTACCGAAGACTATCTAATGACATAGTCGCTTATTGTTGCAGAGATTGAAGCGGTGCACGCGGATGTGGACGACGGGCTTGTGGAGGCGTTAGTGGAGTTTATACTAAACGCCAAGCTTGTTGATGACGCGCTTAATTCCGAGGCCATGCACCATGTTTCCTACACGGTTCCTACCGCTGACTCGTCCGTTGTCGTGACCTGTCGAGTGGCTTCGGTGTTCAATGAGGTCGGACTCAAACTCTGGGAAGCTGGTTGGCTACTGGCTGAGTATGTCATCGCCCACAAGAGCGACTTTCATGGCAGGAAAGTACTTGAACTGGGAGCTGGTGTGGGCTTCACAGGGATGGTGCTTGCCTGCGTGTGTCGCTGCAATCGCATTGTGCTCACAGACTACGCGCCAAACGTAATGCAAAATCTGCGCTACAACGTCGAGATCAACTCAAGCAAGTTCGTTTGTCCCGCTGAGGTGCAGACGTTGGACTGGGAAACGTGGCAGCCAACCGACCACGAAGACGAGCGCCCCGATGTCTTGTTAGCAGGAGACTGCGTCTACGATGTAGCAGCTTTCCCACCCATGATGCACGCCCTGCAGTCATTCCTCGGTAATGACCAAGGCAGTACGAACCAGCATCCACAACGCGTAGCGATCTTCGCCGCTACTATTCGTAACCAGAAAACGTTCCAGGAGTTCCTCGACCAACTTGCCGTCCACCGTATTGACTACGTTGATATCACGACGTCATCACTAGAAAAAATGGGGAGACAGCTTTTCGTGTATCCGAATCGGGATCAAATTCGGATCTGCCGCCTGTCGAGAACTGTCGAATCTACGGCGCAATAAAAGCTAAAAGGGATTCTATCTCTATTTCGTGTTACATGCAGTTCATCTTGACTTTGAAGAAGAATACACAGATGAGGAATGCCAGTAAACTGACAGCACCACCTACAAATACTGGTAGTCTGAAACCCAGTGAAGTTTCCACGAGAGCAGAACCGACGATAAAGTTGAGCAGTTGACCGGACGCAGTCACGGAAGATAACACTCCAACGTACACGCCGATGTCGGTAGTATAACCTAGTACGTGCACAATAAGCGGCACGATCAATGCGAAAAAGGTGCCCACGGTAATGGAGGTGAGTGCGCCGATAGCCACGTCCAGCACAACCACATCGCAGAATGCCATGATCATCAGCAACATCTGAGGAATTATCGCTAAACTTGCAACGAGATGGATGCCATAGCGACGCACGAGTGGAGGAAGAACCCACGAATGCAAGTACCCAACGCCGCAGAATAGTATATCTGCCACGCCTCCAGCGAGCCGGACACCTCGGTTGTAGTCATTTTGTTCCTCTGAGCACTCATCGTCACATGTGGCGGCATTGGTGGCGTCTCCGTCAAAGACCTCGATACCGAAGAACATGCCTTTGTTGCCATTGTAGGCAGCATAAGCGTACTGGACGAAGAAGACCACGATACAATACACCACCAGCACTTTAGGCAATGATCGAACGGCGCTGATAATGGCACCAAAGGCGTCGATGATATTCTGGCAACACCCTCGTTTCGTCATCGTCGTATCCAGTGGTATCTCCTTTGCTACATAACACGCTGCTCCAATACTTACGGCCATGATGACGGATAGCATTCCCATGAACCAGGCCAACGAGTTGTAAGCTGCGCCAAAGCATTCCGTGTATACAGCCACCAGAACAGCTCCGAGAACTGACCATCCTTGACCAAGTGAAGCCCCGACGGTCTGGTGATTGCCAGCAAAGTCGGAGATCAGTAACATAGCAGGCGTACGCGCAAGGTGGATCATAAACCCTGTCCAGAAGTAGAAGAGTACAGTGAGTAGAGCAGTCCATGTGCGGTCGGTGAGTTCTCCTGGTTTTCCAGACCCCACATCTCCTAAGGTGTCTCCCAGTTCTCGTGTGTAGCTCATGAGGATCCAGCACGCAACACTCCCCACTGCAGCAGTGACAAGATAAGGCCGACGACGTCCAAACCTCGACGTGGTTCGGTCCGAGTACGCACCGACGATTGGCCCCACCAGGACACCACAAAGTGGTCCGCTGAGCTGTGTCAATTGTACGGCATAGCGAGGAAGCATCGTCTGTAAATAAGGACCGAGTGCTGCCCATTGCGCTGCCGAAGCCATTCGAATGGCCATGCGAGGCATCGAAATGATGAGTAATTCCCTAAATGAAGCGCCTTGAGGAGTCAGTTCCTCTTCCTGCAGCATAGGCGACTTGAACTCATCTTTGGGCGTCTCGGGTGTCGCGAGGGAGTCGAATTTACTGCGGGAGGTTCCGATCTCAACGTCTTGAAACGATCTCATTTTGCCTTGTTGCAGCGACTTGAAAGGAAATTGAGGAATGATAACGATTATTAACTAAGGCGAGTCACGGTGTGAGAGCGCACGAGAAAACACCAATGAGCATCATCGACAACTGTTATGGTTCGGGATCTCGAACAGGGATCTGTCTTGCGAACTTGCTCTTCAAGAAGTATTAATAAGCGTCATACCAGCTTATCTCACGAATTGTACAGTGTCATGTACCACCTCGTCCAGTGATTACATTATTCAACTGACAGATAACCTGGTATTCAAACTATCGGATACGAAACACTCTCACTTAAAAGAAACGTTGCGTTAACGTTCACAATAAAATACACGAATTATAGTTGTCGGCTTACATGGAGTTCATCTTGATCTTGAAGAAGAAGAGACAGACGAGGAATGCCAGCAGACTGACAGCGCCGCCCACGAAAACAGGAAGTCTGTAGCCCAGTGAGGTTTCCACCAACGCCGACCCAACAATAAAGTTCAGCAGCTGCCCCAACGAGTTCGCGGAGTTCACGACGCCCACATACACGCCAATATCAGCAGTCTGGCCGAATATGTGAACGATGATCGGTACTACCAACGCGAAGAACGTGCTGATAGTGATAGACGTGAGGGCCACAATGATCACATCCAGTGCCACGACGTCACAGAATGCCATCAACATCAGCAAAACCTGGGGAATTGTTGCAAGTGTTGCAATCTTTTGAGCCCCAAAGCGACGCACAAGAGGAGGAAGCACCCACGAGTACAAGTATCCCACGATGCAAAACAGCATATCAGCGAGCCCTCCAGCAAGCCGAACGCCTCGGTTATAGTCCCGCTGCCCCTCTGAGCACTCGTCACCACAAGTCGCAGAGTTGGTCGCGTCTCCATCAAACACCTCGAGACCGAAGAACATTCCTTTATTGCCGTTGTAGGCCGCGAAGGCGTATTGATTCAGGAAAATTACAATGCAGTAGACCACCAGCATTCCAGGAAGCGTCTTCACAGCACCGTATATCGACCCAAATGCGTAGGCCACATTCTTGCAGCAGCCCCGCTTCTCCACCACCCGTTCTTGTGGAATCTCCTTCGCCACGTAGCATGATGCTCCAATACAAACAGCCATAAAGACAGACAGCATTCCCAAGAACCAGTGCATAGAGTTGTACGCTGCGCCAAAGAATTCCGTGTAGGCTGCCACAACAATCGCTCCAAGTGTCGACCATCCTTGACCCATCGCAGAGCCGATAGTTTGACGTTTACCAGCAAAGTCCGAGATCAATAACAACGCAGGAGTTTGTGCAATGTTGACGGTGATGTCCATCCACAGGTAGAAGAAGATTGTGAGTAGAGCAGTCCACTTGCGGTCTGTCACTTCGCCGGGTTTCCCAGATCCGACATCGCCCAAAGCGTCTCCCAACTCTCGTGTGTAGCCCATAAGGACCCAACAGATTATACTCCCTACTGCCGAAGCAACTAGGTACGGTCGACGACGTCCAAACCTCGACATGTTTTGGTCGGAATACACCCCGACAATTGGCGCCATTAAGACGCCGCTAAGTGGTCCGCTGAGCTGTGTCAACTGCACGGCATAGCGAGGAAGCATCGTCTGTAGATAGGGGCCCAGTGCCGCCCATTGCGCTGCCCATGCCATTCGGATAGCCATACGAGGCATTGAAATAACGAGCAATTCCCCGAGTGAAGCGCCTTGAGGAGTCAGTTCCTCTTCCTCTAGCATAGGCGACTTGAAACCATCTTTGGGCGTTTCGGGCGTCGCGAGAGAGTCGAACGCGGCACGCGACGTCCTGATCTCGATGTCCTTGAGCTTGGTGCTCATTTGGCACGAGCTGCTGCCGCGTCCAGGCCGAGGAATACCGAGGAATGCTAATCACACTTGCCAAGTGAATTGACGAGTGGTCTATTCCCTGGAGGCTATCCCATGCTTGACCGCGTGGTTAGATGTTTACTTTGCTGCGGGGGAGGGTTGTCAGTGATCCCATTGTGATTCACTAGGCCCCGAGGGCGGATTGTGAACATGTGTGGTGCACCGGCTTCTTTGATTAACGAGTGATAGACTGATGCGTGACGTCGCTAATACAGAGCTCAACGGAGACTGGTGTTTTTTCAGGTTATATCCCAGAGTCAAAACCAATGGAGTCTCTGTTGAGTTCTGTGGTTGCGTTGCGCAACTAGTTCATTCGTCGGATGTAATGCTGTTAAATTGAAATTATCTTCCGACTCGGAAGATAGGGTGGATGGACGCAGTAGTTGCTTATGGATGAGTCCTCTGACCAAGACGGCGTGATGTTGAGTGCAAGCAAGCAACCCTCCGCTCCAAAGTAGATTCTGTAGTTCAAGGGGGAAACTAAGGAGGGCCCTCACAAAAAAAGTTATTATTTGTTGCAAAAAATAGAACGAGCCGTCGGCAACGGCAAATCTAATTTTTGGCGTTACCGACGTAAAAGGCCACATCATTACAATACAAATTTCACAGACAACGTACAGTTCTTATAAATAAATGTCGTAACTACTAGACAAGAAACCACCAGAGCGTGTGATTTTTCATTCCACGATCAGAGCTGCGTTGATTTCCCAAACACTTGGAATAACACTCTACGCTATCGCAATGTCGGATCAAGTTTTTCACATTGACCCTCCTCCGGAAAAAAACTATCTGAACCATGATGCCGCTGAATCCGCGCTTCATGCGTGGACAAGATCAAATGGCTTCAACGTATCGCGAAGGCGAATACGAAAAAATGACAACGGTGAGGTTTGCATCCGAAATTATGAATGCGATCGTGCGGGCAAACCGAAGTGTACTAAAAAAAAAAACTCGCTGCCGAAGACAGGGTTCGAATTAAACGCGGGTCGAGGCGGTGTGGCTGTCCAATGCGGATTTCGTTGAGGGCGATCGACAAAAATGCACCTGCAGGGGAATGGGCCATCGTTCACACTGGTAATGGTAGCGCCGTTCACAACCACAAGCCATCCATGGACGCTCGTGTCCACGCAGCTCACAGATCCAGAGCTGCTCAGGATATCATTGCTACTTCTGAGCGCTCAGTTCACAGTACAATTGAGGCTCAATCTGCAGCTGGTGTACCGGTAGCCAACATTTACGCAACAATGTTGAATCATGACCCCAACACTATGCTACTTCCTAAGGATATCGCTAACGCCAAGGACTAAGCTCGTCGTCGAGTTCTCGCTCCCGCTACTCCTATTGAGGCCCTCTTCAACCAGCTCAACCAAGAGAAGTTCTTTTATCGATACACAACATACATCGAAACTCAACGTCTTAAATATCTACTGTGGGCTCATCCTGCTACCGCAAGTCTTTACAAGTTTAACTCTGACATTTTAGTGATGGACTGCACGTACAAGGCTAATAAGTTCGACCTCCTGCTTCTAAACGTCATCTCACTTACTGGAATGGACACTGTAATCCTGTCTGTCAAGCCTGGCTTCCAGGGGAGAAGAAACAAGACTACACTTGGGCCCTGAACATGTTACGTCTATTGATGTTAGAGTATGATGTCCCAGAGCCGAGAGCCATTTCTCATGATAGGGACCAACCGTTAATGAATGCTCTGGCACTCGTTTTCCCCGATGTACCGACAATTCTGTGTCGATGGCACATGAACAAAAATGTTCTGAGTAAAGCAAGAGAGGTGCTGGGCAAGCTGACTGTCGAAAACCCTGCTCCCGGTCAATCCAAGTACTCGAATTCCTTGGCCACCGACAAATTTATGGCGCTGTTCTACCGCACAGTTGGCTCGGAGACGGAAGAGGATTTGAGAGCAAACAAGACCGCTCTAGCTGAATGTAACGCCCAACTAGCCGCATATCTGTCAGAGCACTGGTTGAAGTACGAAGACAAGAATCGTAAAGGTCCGAACAAATCGGTTCATGCACTTCGGTGTTCGAGATACGTCAACTGCCGAGGGGACTCACGCTCAATGCAAGCGCTGGATCAAGTCGACCCGCGGCGACCTTTTTTTACCGTTTACAACAAGTTACTTCCATGGTGAATATCGTCTGCTAGCAGGACGCGTGAGTGTTTGAGCCGCAACGAAACCATAGTGCCTTACCAACTGCAATTCAATGAGTTCGCCGCGTGTGTGAAGATTATAACCAATTGGGATCTGTACAAGACTGACGAACTTTGGAATCAAGCTCGAAAAAGTATCGTGCAAAGTGAAGCTCTCACTGAGTGCAGAGGTATCTTCCGTGCAGTTCACGGAATGCCGTGTGTTCACGATCTCAAAGCAATCATAGAGTCCGAAGGACGTCTGCATCTTATGTCTTCTCATTTTTACAAGCATTGGTGGATTCAACAAGGCACAGAACAGAAGCAAATAGATGCTGCTCGCATTCTTGATCCTCTACCTGTCAGAGCCAAGAGTTGTAGGAAACCCATAGAAATCACACACAAGCGAAACCACGGCGCTAACGGCACAGCAAGAGAGTCGGTACAATTTAAACGTGTGGAGCTTAATGATACTAACTTGACACCGTCCCAGCCACCACAACCCGATCCTTCACTGTTTGGAACACAAACATTGGATAAAGTTCACGAATCTGGTCAGCAGAAGTCTACAGCGTCTAGTGTGCACTACCATCATCACCACACACCTGCCAGAAGTTGGGGCTATGCTGGTATGAGCCCATACGAGTAATGGCGAAGAAGACGTAGCATACTTTCAAAAAGTATCTTCGCTTGGATCTTGCAAATCTCTTTTTATCTTCAGCTAAACTTCAATTTAAATTCCAAATATGTTTATTTAATATTTGGGTCGAGTAATGATCATTATCATTAAATTTAAAAAAAATATTCATTAGATATACTATTCTTCTATGACTTGTGTGAATTAAAAGTATGTGAACGAAGAAAACTTTGAACTGCGAACACCATGTCACAGTGTAGGCAGGGGAACATCCCGCGGCGATTCTGTTTCTCCCTTCGTAGCTGCCTGTGGGCTTCTGCGTCAGGATTGTCAGTACAGAAATATCTATGCTGCCGAATACGACCAGAATGGCTGTCTGTGTGTCCACAATACTGGCACACAAACAGCGTGTTCGACACTACGTCAGGGGTCCAAGTCTCTCCCTTGAAAACCAGGTAACAATGAAGCCTGTAATTAGCTGTAGTGTAGGCTACTCCACTGTGGAAAAGATCTCCACGAAATATAATACCATAGCAGCGATGTATATCTACTAGCACTTCTTTTTGGACGTTTGGATATTCGAAACAACCCGTAAAAACACGAAGTTTCGTGTCATTCTCCAAAAATACAATGACACTTGCAGGCACCGAACCCGGAAACTTTTCACCACATTGATCTCGTACTTCTGCCGTGTAATCTTGATGGGGCTCTTGAGCTTCTCCATCAGGCCGAGAATGCATGAAGGAAAATACTGTAGGTGTATACTTCTCGTCTCTAATACACACGTCCTCGTTAATAGCTTGTTGGACAAGATTTAGTGCCGAACTCAGTCGAATAACGCGCGACTGGCTTCGAAATGGGTCATCATTAGCTCCTCCGACCTCTCGAAAAACTGATGTGTATGTGCGTGATCGTGCTTCGCTAAGCAAAGCGTCGAAACTAGACGTATCCAGTTGCAAAAACACTATATCAAAGCCGGAAGGCGGAAACGAGGGCCGCATGGTGGAGGTAACCGTAGTTGAAAACTATATTTGCTGTAGCCACATCTCGTCGGCAACGCCACAAATTAGATTTGCCGTTGCCGACGGCTCGTTCTATTTTTTGCAACAAATAACTTTTTTTTGTGAGGGCCCTCCCAGCTGGAGGGCTCTCCTTAGTTTCCCCCGTAGTTCAAGCACCATAAGACAATTACAGAAAAGGTACATATAAGGTTGCTTCAAAATTCGAGCACCCTTAAAGTTTTCGTTATATTTTCTTTCTTGCAAAACTTACCGTCATATTTTAAAATCTCCGAAAATTACCGATGCACCGTACAGCCTCGTATAATTCTAAAAATACAGGTGTACAGTACAGCCTAATTTAAGTACGACAATTCCTGGCCTTTGGATTTGAGGAGCTCATTTGAAAAAACGCGCCACGCGTCGGAAGCCATCTGAACGACGTCTCCCCGCGCTTTTCCTGCAGAAAGGCCGATACGCACCGTTGCCACGAGACTGCCACGCATACGCCACCACGGAAATGCCCCACGCAGGCCCACAAGCACACTAGAGACGCCATGTCGGACGGTGTGAGCGTTTTGCAGATTTTTGAATATATATATAGGTGTTCTGACGCGTTTATTTTTCATTACAGACAGCCTGGACGACCTGTTCAAGCCAAGCTCATCGTCTGCGCAGGACGACTTTGATGAAGATTTCGAACCTGGAAGCGACTCAAGTGATTCCCTTCTGGAACTTCTGGCTGCGATTGGTAAGAGCCTATGTGCTGTATATTTTCTTCTTCGCTTATGACCAGTATCTAATTGGAGTTTTGTACCATGTTATATACAGATAACACGCCTTCCCGAAAGAAAAAAAACAAGGTTAGTGGTTGTTGAATTGAATGAGTCGTACGATTAATATCTAACTTGCTATCACAATGATTCTGCAGTTCCTACTGGACCACAAACTCCGGCGAGGCCGACAATCAAGCGCAGAAAGCATCGACCGTGGCGCGCAAAAAAGACCGGAAAAACGTAGGCGACACGGAACCATGGTTGGGAGCGATGGACTCGGCGGTGAAGAGAGCGAGGACAGCGTCGCAGATACTTTGTCGTTGCCGTCCACCGACGACGAACCAGGTCATACGGAAGAAGTCAATGAGTTTGACGTTACGGACCCGACGACAGACCGCACTCCCCGAGTTAGACGTACCGAGTCCTATCCCGACAGCGTCGCGATGGAGACCTCTCGTGTCGGCATGGTGAACAAAATTCCACCGATGCGGGAGTTCATATTCTCATCTTGGCGTGAGTTTAGTAGTACTTTGGAGAAGTATTGCTCCGATTATTACCTGCTATTTAGAGCACGAGATACTCGCACCGTGATAAAACACGACACGTGGGTAAAATTATTTAATTCATTTTAACTTCACACTAACAATTTGATTTTTTGTAGATTGAGAGATCTACGGATTCCTACCAAGATGGAGTACAGTTACAAGGTATTTCGCAGCCCTCACGGTTGTTCGCAGAAGTCCCGAAGCAAAGGGCAACGCAATACTCCAAGTTGATACACAGGATGCAAGGCTCGTTTTACGGCTACAGTTAGAAATTGGGCTGATGAAGGAGGACGAGATGAATGGAAAATTGTTCTGCGAAATTGAGTAAGTATTAATAGCGTTAGTGAAGGTGCTGGTGTTAAACTTGCAATTATTTTGTTGTGTAGACCTGGACGCACAATCACCGCACGAATGCAACAATTTACGCCAACAGTCTGGTGTTTGATCAGGTTGGAGTTCTCGCCGATACCAACACAGAATCAAATCAGATTCAGCAGTTTCTATCTGGGGCGTTGGATCGCCACGTGACGCCACAACAAGTACGCAACATTGTTCGCAAGGTGCTCAATAGTACGCCAGCGGATAAACAGCTTTCAAGAATGTTGGATACCCTCGCCACCTTTGCTGATCACCACGTACTGGTCATTCGAGACCAGAATGATGTTACCAGCGGTGTTGTGATCAAATCTGCAGTTCAACGACTAGCCTTCGAGCGTTGGGGCGAGTCGCTTTGTATGGACTGGACGTACGAAACCAACAACCTGGGGTTTCACCTTGGTAAGAATTATTATTTTACTGTGATGCAGCATCCTTAACTAAGAAGCAGCATCCTTAACTAAGAAGCAGCACCCTTAACTACTTTGAAATGCTATTTGTACAGGTAGTCTGCTAGCTACAAGTGCAACAGGCCGAGGTGTACCTGTTTTGGATTTCATCGCTCTCGACAAAAGGATGAGAACAATGGAGGCGATTTTGGAATTTTTTTAGAAAGCACAACAATCAGTGGAAAGATATCGAGACGTTCGTAATTGACAAAGATTTTAAGGAGTGGAGAGTGCTGGAGAAATGTTTTCCTCGAGCGACGGTTTTGTTGTGACAGTTTCACACTATGGTGAACTGGAAAAAGGTCATCAAGCGAGTTAATTCAAACTCGACGGGACTCAGAGGGACGAGGTGGAGTATTCAGTAAAGCAAATGATGTACAGCACGGCTACAGAGGCGTTCAACAGAGCGAGGGACGGATTGGAAAAAAATTGCAGGGGAGATTGCCCTAATATTTCCCCGAAATCATGTCCATAAAAGTTTCAGTATTTTCAAAATAATTGGGAGTGGTGCAGTGAAATGTGGTCAAACCATGAGCGTGGCAACTACTTTACCGTCGGTAATGCAACGACGAACCGGATCGAGACGAACTGGAACCAGTTAAAGTGTCTTCTCGGGAGAAAAACGAGAATTGATAGAACTATAGCTGGATTGCTACAAAATCAGGTCAATATTGTTAATCACTTATTGACTTCACTACGCAAGTTCTCCAGTCAGTCTCGACGTCCGGACTCTATCCCTCCATTTTTACAACTTGTTGCTGGGGAGCTTTCAAATGATGCCCTCGCGAAGGTTTTGTGGCAGTGGGCTTGTTCATGGTGAATAAGAATGAGGTAAAGTGCGTCTGTGTAGGCCCTACACAGTCCGAGTGGAAAGTGTTTCTGTCTGGTCAAGGTTTGTGCGTCGATGACCTGATGTGGTCATGCAGCTGCCTATTTTACAAGAGCCGTCGGCTTCCATGCCAACATGTTATGGTGGTGGCTTGTAAAGCCCACCGATTTAAAATGCTACCTACTTCTACAGTGCCAAGTCGGTGGAGCATGAGAAAAACTGAAGAGCTTTACGACTCTTTGGAAAGAGGCCTGGAACCGCTTCGACAAGTTATCAACGTGGTGAAAGCCCGGTCGAGTCGAGTAATAGCGCCTCAAGCTGCCGCACCATTAGCAATTGCTTCTGCAGGTACATATCGTATTGGCAAAGCTTCTGTGGAGTACGTACGTCTCCAGAGAGAGGAACAATCAAGCATGGTCGTGCTGTCTAATGGTGAAAAATACGCAAGGGCCCAATCTCTTTTTGAACCAGTTATTGAGAAACTTAGTGGCCTATCTACCGTGGAGTTTTACGAACAGATGAGCAAGTGGAAGAGCGTTGTCGACAGCGAGCAAGGAAATATTACTGCTGCAAATTCGTCTACGGACGGAGACTCCACTGCGATTAAGCCTACCGAAAGTGACTCGGACAGCTTCTTTGATCAGCTTGATTACGCTGATGTGATGGCTGAAATGGAGGCAGATCAAGAGTTGGCTATGATAGCCGACTCAATGACTGATCTTGTTCGTGAGCACAATTTAGGGGCACAAGATGGAAACTCATAAACTGCAGAATCTCCTTCATTCTCCGAAAGCGATAAATGCCCGTCAACGCAAGTGTCGAAACGAAGTCATAAGGAGGAGGAGGGTTCAGTGGTGAAACCTGCTGAAAAGAACAAGGCAAGTTCACAACAACAAAATTTGCAAACAGCTACAGCTCATGGTGAGTCTCTCGATGCACCAAGTGAGTCTTTGAAAATACGTGATATTGAAGTTCTGAAACTACCATCTTCGAAACGCAGGACTCGAAAGAAGACTAAACAAGGGTGGATAACTCCACAACCCAAGTTTGCTGCTGTCACCACGACGCTGACACAAATTATTCAATGGCCAAGTTACCACCCAAATGTGAAGAAGGTCTCTAATGATTTAGATCAGTACGCATGACGGACAAATTTATACAAGCGCGTCCTGTAACCAACCTGCCTAGTTGCCGTGGAAGGTAGTGAAGCAAATTCCAGCGACCACGCGTTCGTCATCCCTGAAGAGCTGTTGAAAAAGGCAGATGCAGCATTGCTGCAAAAGAAGGAGTTGCTGGAAAGGGAAGATGAATCCGCACCGTGGAGACTGCACGTGTCGTTCGGATTCAAAAACCTCGTTCTGCACAGATACTTGGATATTGCGTTTATTAAGGGCGCTCTTAGAGAAATAAGGGCGCTCTTAGAGAAGTAAGGATACCGTAACTTTCATTTATTAACTTACGGTTCGGTAATGCATTTTACATCTATTTCCTGAACAGAATGAAGCAGTTCTACGCACTCAAAGCAAGAGCGAGAAGCTATATTGAAGACACCAAGTGACTTAGGCAGGAGTGGCTCTATGTTCAAGCCCACCCTGTTGAACCTTTTTCAGTGGAAACGAAAACAACTGGACTACTGCATTCTGAAGCTGCTAAGATGCATGAAGCGCTAGCGAATGATGTACTAACAAAGTATTCTGGGCTTTCTCTCGTGACGGTGCTGAAGACGAAGTCGGGGTCTTCTTTCGTTAAGTTTAGTGATATTGCTGGTGGAATTCCTCGTGAGGTGATGGTGAACGATTCTATTATCGACATGGGCATAAAGATGATTGCAGACAGTGTGAAAGGGTGTGTGGCGTTATCATCACTGATGATATGGCCTTCTGCATTGAAGCAGTAGCTCTCTGAGACGGCATTTATCGTTCTACCGCGACACTTAAGCAGAATTCATTGGGGGTGTTATTTTCGTGAAGGTGGCACTTCCTACGACATTGATTGTAAAATTTTATGATCCCCTGCACCAGCAGGGCTACAAAAAAAGAAATCAAAAAGGTGTGGACGGAGAAGTTGCTACCGTTTTTGGAGAATTCGCACGCTGAAAGTGGAGCAAAGGAGCGATTCCCTCAGGAAATTGTTAAGAAGTGGATTAACGAGCCGATTCAGCCCGATGGAACAAGCTGCGGTCTTATGGTTTTGGGAATGGTCTATTTGTTTGTGCACAATGCGCACAGATTCAAAACGTCATCGTATCACTGAAGCGTACATGCGCGTGATGCGATTGAGACTCACGTGGCTATTACTGTGTACAACAAAGCGTGTTCAGCCAAACGAGGAGAATACAACACAAATGATGAAGACGGATGAAGAGATTAGCAAGCTTCTTAAGTAGCAGTGAGCTGGTGAGCCACATGTTGCGGTATAAGGAGAATATGTCAATTAAAAACAATAATAAGAAACGGCATAATGAATCAGCAATGTTTCTCAAACATAGCAGAAATACGGATTCACCATCTTACTGCAGCAGTATTGCATCACTGTCTTCATGATCCACATCGTAGAATCCTGATTATTTGCCCCAGTAACACCCCGGATGAAGAAGTGTATCCGCTGCTTCCTGGAGTCTATCCGAATCTTGCAGTGAGCTCGTTAATAGTTTCAGCTTCGCGTAGAAGTGTTGCCTCCAGCTCCTCGTGAGCATACTGCAGGTCGTTAATTGCTTCGGCCATCATGTCCATCTTGTCTTGAGGCACTTGCAGCTCGTTGGCTCTGGAACGCAGGAACTCCCGCGCCAAGACTTGGTGATCCATGGCAGATGTTGACTTTGAATCGCTCTTTGTCTTTGGAATATTCAACGCATCAAATTTGAGATCTGGTAAAATTGTCAGTAGCTACTTTATTTCGTAAAATTTCGCCTCTTAGTGTTATTTTCGTGGTAATTTATTCTAGCTGATAAGGGCGCACTAATGTCATAAGGGTGCTTGTAGGCTGTCGTGTTTGTGGTGGGTGGGGTTCGCAAAATCACGTTGCGATCCACTCTGACACACAGTGCCCTGGACTGCCCACTAACGGAGGGGTACTCCGATAACCGTGGGGTTGCTGAGG